TGTTGTTGTTGTTGTTGTTGTTGTTGTTGTTTTTGTTGTTGTTGTTGTTGTTGTTGTTGTTGTTGTTGTTGTTGTTGTTGTTGTTGTTGTTGTTGTTGTTGTTGTTGTTGTTGTCTTGCTCTGTGGTGTTGTTGTTGTCTTGCTCTGTGGTGTTGTTGTTGTCTTGCTCTGTGGTGAGATGGCAGGGTGCCTCCCGTTGGTGCCATTTCTCTCTTTTGTCTATTTGTGGTGCGTCTCCTCTGCGTCCTGTTGGAGTGAAATTTGAAATTGCACATTTTTATTGGCCTTGGTACAACAAACGGTATCCAGTGTCTTCTATCCACGATAAACTATGTTTATGTGGTGAGGGGATGTACAGATGTTACAGTATATTGGACGATATACGTTTCAGCTGGTCACTACAGGCTCGCTGAATAAATCTCAAAACAAATAATACCGGTAATCATCAATGACACAAAAGACAAAATTAAGTTTTCTTCTCTCTCAAACACCTTCCTTTTGTCACCAGAGGTGGCAGGACGATGCAAAGTTGAAGTTGATGAATGCAATCCTTGGATTGCAGGAGTGAGGAAGTGTTGGTAGTTTAGTAGCTCATGAGCATAGATGATGATAGCAGTCTAAGGGCTATATGACCTGATGCAGCAGACGTAACTAGCCCTAATGCAAATGCGATGTAGATGAATGAGAAATAGTGAGCTAGTTTATCCTATTGTCTGAAGTGAAGGATTTCAAAGGAATTGATGTGTCAGAGACAGTCTGTCCATCGTACCCTTCAAACCTTAAAGGAGCGGCCGAACCCAACCCCATCCTGTTGTTGACCCTCAAAGCATATCCTTTATCTTTTCAAGCGGCTCCTTTGGAGGCCAATATGTCTTGGTGTAAGGCTCTACATACCGTGTATATGTCCACGACTTGTAGTATTGTTTGCCAACATCATCTAAGACAATATCATCTAGCCGGCCTGTTTCGTTTAGAACCCGCATTCTCCAATACTGCAAGAATAGCCTTTCCCAACCATCAAATCTTGTATCCTGGAATTCTGAGCTTTCGATATACTCTCTCATTCGACCAACAAGTCCTTCTTGAGTCAGGTCCCAATTCTCAAGCTGCAGAACTGGTAGTCCACGGAATAGCTCTTCGTTTTCTTTTCTATACAATACAATTGGAATCACACCAAGGAAGTAGAGCTCATATGTACGATAGCAGTCGAGCCCCTGCGAATGTTGAAGGAGTGAGCATCATCTCGAATCAACAACATACAAGAATGTATGAGAAAACAAAAATGCCTTACGTTTCCTGGTGGGCTCAACCCAAACAGGTATTTCTCAGCCGCATCATATATCTCTGTGTTATGGAATTTTTTAAGACCCATCGAACAGGATATCTCGTCCATGGGTGTGCCTGTCCTGTTTTTACAAGCCATTTCAAACGGCTTTCGGCTAGTGTTGCAAAATTAGACACTTCAATCAGTGCAAGTGCACAGCGCTCAACCAATATGAACTTACCGGTGTTGACTGTGAGCGTTAATCCCAAACTTGACAAAGACCAAACGGGTAGCGCCCGTAGCTACAGCTAGTTCAGTAGATTGTGTCCATCGTCGTTTCTTAACATCTGAAAACGGATTACCGAATCCTCTTTCATTTAAACGTGCAGCCAAAAATTTCTGATGATCGTAAAGCGCTGATAGTCCCAGGTGCATCATGTGAAATTTAGGGTGATCTGCACCACACTCATAACACGGATTGATTCCATACCACCCAATCAATAGATCGTCTGTTTGTAGTATCTCTCTTCCTTGACCCTTCGGCTTCAGAGGTTCTATGCCATCTGACCCTCCTGTTACCAACAGATACGGCTCTGTCATCCGCGGGCGATAGATGTCAAAGAATCGTTTAGCCCCCCCACCCTCATGGTCCGCATACACAATGGTGCCTTTTTGTAAACAGGGAATAATGTCGTAATTCAAGTCCGAAATTGCCCATTGCAAGAAACCTTTTCTTCCATGACCAAGAACAGAAACATCTCCAAGGTCAAGACCATCCACGCTGGTAATTAGATGATCTTTATCAGGTTCCAATGCGATTGCGATTGCTTGGGCACAGCAACTTATCTTGCACTTCTTCTCCGCTGGAAACCACGGAGCTTGCTGGACGACTGTTGACCTTTGGTATGACGTTTTCATTGGGTTTAGTTCTTCACCCCCTGCAATGTCACTCCTATCCACCACAGAATTCAAAATTGTGTGCTCGAGAATCTCCAAGTAATCTGGAGGTTTTTCCATAATTTGCCCTGTCAGTTCTCCATGAATCTTCAAGTATGCCTTTACCCACTTGTCGCAATTGTCGTAGTTGTGAAGCATTGGTGCCGGTTGGTATGCACCGTCCACCGAAATTTCATAGCGATTAGCGATGAATCCTGTTTCAATAAAGTCGAATCGTACAATATCTAATTGGGATTTGCTAGTCCCGCTTTGTAGATATTGGTTTCGACATGGTTTCTCGAGATCCTGGACAAATCCCGTGCCCCAAGGAAGCGTTGCACAGCTAATTGAGGAACCAAAAGCCCCAGTATAATACAGGTAGTTCATAACGCCTACTTCACTGATCGTTGGATAATGGCAGCTTGTTCCCTCAATCTTGTTTTCGAATTCCTGTGACATGACTGAGAGATAACGAGCAATGCCTTCGTCACTACCCAGAACAGTGGTTGGGACTAATATCGGGCGATTGTTTCCAATACCTTCCGCACTGAACTTAGGATAACAGCGTTTGAACATTGAGCCATAGTTCGAGCTGAAGAGGGAACCATGCCGCACGTCCAACTTATCTGGATCATAGTAAAATGGGTTCGTGTGCGCAGCTAACTCTTCTGAAAACAGCAAATCTTCTTTGCGGTTCGAAAACCGTTCAAAGGGATTGGTCTGAAAAAAGGTACTAACCCCATCCAATGCCAAGAGTGCTCGCCCAGTACACTCGTTGCATGAGTGAAGCCACTGGCGCGCCAACTCATACTTACCCCATTCAAAGGGCAAGTTTTCAAGACCCTTGAAACATTTTGGAGTTTTGGCCTTCAGCGTCTTGAATCCACTGATGGGTGGAGAGCAAGGACTCAGGGTGACAGTGTATATTGTGACATTGTGGCTTTTGAGGAAGCGCATATTCATGGCTGGAAGATTTGGCTGCACACCAAGAATGATGTGACCGTTGTATCCAGTCTGTCGTAAAGACGAGATAAACCTTTTCTGATCTCTGTTAATCATATATGATACTGGCATCACCGAGATCACAACATCGTTGCCGTTGTTAGCCTCGGATTTATGGAGTAAGCCATTTGGCGTTTGAACTTCCCTTGCTGTCGCCTGCTGTGCTTTGTCCTCGCATTGTGAACACAGAATGGGCCGATTAAAATATTTGCTCTTGTCTCCGGTTCGGAATTCTTCTGGGTTAAACAACAACTCTCCGTCCCTAGTAGCAAAGGGGGGTATCGGAGACGCCATCGGTGTATCGGTTTTGCTCTCAAGTTTTCGTTGTTGCTCTTCTTCTACCAAACCTGAGAAGATGTTCTCATGCGAAGGATTTGAGACACCCCCTCCATCATAGACAATGAACGTTGATGCTAAGATGACTTGAAAAAACAGAACGATGAAAAGGGCAGAGCCAAATATTATGAAACTTTTGGTGATGACGAGTGGTGCTTTCTTAATCGATGTGGGTGCAATTTGTAGGCGTTGCTTTGTTGGGACATCATGACCCTTGACTACCATCATCTGGCAACACCAGGAGTCTTTGCCTTTTTGTTCTTGGGGCCGCAGAAAGGGAAGAATAAGATTTGATAATCTGCTCTCCACGCTTCACGTTTTGCAGCGGACGAAGTGAATCGACTGACTAGCTCGACTTCTCGAGATTAGAGTTACGATTACATTATGTGGAATGTTACGAAAGTAACATAAATACGGTACCGTTGCTCAAAATACATATGAATTTCGAGTCATCTGTGTCAAACGCACTGCTACTTATGCCTTTTTGGCAGTATTTTTGACGGTACCGTTGCTCGCTTTGTAACATGCCACGCAACATTTTCAAACAGAAATGTTACTCGTTGCCATAAATATTCGTGTCGTACCATAAGTAATTTTCAGGCAGGATATCCATCGCTCAAACAAAAAAGTTACTTTTCGCCTTAAATATTCTAGTAACTTTCTGACAGTATATTCCATCACAAGACAGTATTATTATCCACAAAACAAAAATTACACTTTCTCGATCCTTCGTCTTTGAGAGATGCAGGGTCAAACAACTGCAGAAGAACAAGCAAATATGGACAGTGGCGTCGTGATGGAGGAAGCAGCCGCCAATAACGACCATTCCGGCGCTGGAAGGAGGCGCTTTGCACCACCAGAAGACTAGGCTACTTGGCATTGGTATGCCATCAGAAAATCCACAGTGCCGCCCATACATTGCTGCCTGATATACAACAACCAACCAAAAAAGGAGGGGCGACCAGTTGACGATTGATGAGGCTATTATTATAGACGGTGATGGGGGCGCTGGTGCTGGTGGAGGCGTGGTGGTAGAGAACTCAACTTAGGAGACTTGTTCCAAAGCATCCAGATAAGTATCCAGCAACTGCAACAACAATTTAGTAACGTTGCTCCTCGATCTCATACAAATGTTTCAGATTTGAGAGCCTACATCCGGCATCGTGATCGAATTCTAAACAACAACATTCGTGCTTTTGGCGAAACAATTGAAGGTGGCTTGCGAATCCAACTCCAACAAGCAAATACTGGCCGCAGACTACTACTCTACCACTTCCAGCAAGCGGAGCAAATGAAGATGTTAGTCCCATCGTAGTTGCGAACATGGCTATTCTATCGGGCAATCCCAGGTCGTTAAACGAACTCTGGCGGGAGTATCAGCATGGGATTGCTGGTCGGAAGCCTGCACGTTTTTTCACGGCTAGAGAACGAAAATCTTCCAGTCAAATCTAGTATAACAGTTGCATTAGTTTTATGAATATGGTTTACATAGTATGCTGTAACAGCTGCTTGATTGCTTGCTCTTATGTAGAGATATTGTAGAAGGAAAGTTCACTGGTATTTTGTCTTGTTCGATTTTCCTCTTTGATGTGTTTCCAGTTTGTTCGGTTTGGGTGAGCATTTTGATTGGCTGGAAATGTGCAGCTGGCTAGAAAGGTGCGACATGAGTACATAGTGTACCATGTTATACGAGTAACATAATGCGTCCAGTGTATCATCTAGCTCCGTTGCATTGAGTAAAAACTCTTCGAAATGGTCTGGTTGATGAGTGCAGGATTCATTTGACAATTCTTTTTCAGTGTGGTTTAACAAAATGACTTCAACCGCGTCTTGCAAAATGCTTGGTTTGTCAATAAGATATTGTTGATGCTGCTGTTGCTGTTCATCCACAAGTTTCCAAATGGAGGATTCTAGCAGCAAGATTATCTCTCGACAGTGCACTTCTTCCAGTGTCCAGGTTGACTTTTGCTTTTGATACATGCTTCGGATGGATCCCTTCAGATTAAGCAAGATTTTTTCCGTAGTCTTCTCATTGAGATATGACGCCTGTTGGTGTCTTTGCTTCATTCCTTGCAAGATGGCTATATATAGCTTCGTGGTTCCTTTGCCTCTTGGTCAACTCCAACAAAGAATCTTCAAAGAAATTGTTGGGCAAGTGCCCCAGTTCTAGTTATTGCGCCCATTCCGCAACATTCAAAATCCACGCACTATAGGGGAATGAATAGAATTTTCTTGTGATGCAATGGCCTGGCATATTCCTTGGTATAGAGGGGCAAGTGGAATCCCAGTCCCAATTGGTGCGCCCTGAGCGCCAGTTGGAGCACGTAATCTAATAAAGGGTGTTCCATCGAGAGAGCTAGGAATTTACAATCGATTTTGTTGTTGGCCGCCATGAGAGAGATACAGAGTTGCAAAACTGCCAATAATGTTCGGTGAATTGATACAATTTGCTGTTGCTTTTGAATGCTCGCATTTCGGATGGCTTCCGCCAAGTCGGCCTTCGATTCAGTGACCTTTAACAATGTCTCTCTGCAGAGTTCATAGCAAATTGAAGGTTTCCATGCAAATCGTGTTGTTCCTGTGCTCGTTGAACTTCCTTTTCGCGAGATTGTAACAAAGGTATAGCAGCACTTGTGTTTCGCGAGCAGCTCTTTCCAATAGAATGGAAGGATTGCCAGTGTATGCTTTTGAAAGGGGAATCTCAATGCAGCTATTAACATTCGTAGCCAACGCTGACGCTACTACCGCCGTTGGCTTCCTTCTCTTCATTGGATCTATATCAACAGTCGCGGTGGAAAACCCAAGGTGCTTATTATTGGAGTGAAGGTTGGACAAATGCGAACCACAAAACATAGCACTGCGAGTTGTTGTTATTGACGATGATGAAACTCAAAGTACTCTGAATCTTGAAGCCGCCAATCTGCCATTCATACTTGGAAGTACATAGTCGTGGCTGCCAAAGACGAATTATTGAAGTTAATCCTCTACTTTATCCTTGCCTTTACAGTAGTTTACAGTTGCCACTCTACCGTCCTCACCCAACAAGACCTCCATCACCAAGACCTTCTTCACCATCGCGTGCTAGTGTAATCAGGTACAGTTACTGTACCTGGTATTGTATCAGAGGAGTGAATGGATTATTGTCTGGCTGGTCTCGCAAGAAGAATGATGCTGCGCCCACAAAATCCAATGTCATGCGGAACAGAAGTCCATGACCTCAAAACTGCATACCGAATTTTTTATCAAAGAAACAATAAGACGGCCGCTGCATGATGATGTGCAATCACGTATCCAGTAGTGGGAACCCAGTGTCTGTGCAGATATTTCACTATTATGTGCTGCCACATCAAAACGGCAGAGATACGCTACGGGAAACAGAATTCCAAGCCTTTCATACTGTGAAAGGAATTATCAAAGAATCAAAAAAACAAGACGCCCGCTTATTGTAGGGGAATGAATTGCTTGTAGAGAGAGCTTACTCTGTGCAGCTTCGAAACCCATTAGGATTGCGGGAAACAGAAGTGGAACGGAAGACAAGCGGTTCATTGGAGGCATCAATCATCTTCGAAATAACGCAATGGAACGCAATGGAAACCTAAAATATTTCACTGACAATAAGTAAAAGTGTTAAACGTCGAAAACCGTTGTTCTCAAGTATGTAAAGCGAAACGGGAGGGGCAAAAGTTTTTCGACAGATGGTAAACATTTATATGTCATGCCAAACCCAGTGAAAGGAAGGTCAAACCCGAAAAGCATACAGAACGGTCGCAGAACGCAGAAATGTCAATATATGAAATTTCAGCATCCATAAGTAAAAGTGAAAGGTGGTGGTGGACTTTCTTAGAAGCATGCTCCAATTCATTCTTGGGTGATGACATCATGACAAGAAGGCTTTGAACCATGACTGGCGATGACTGGTGTCAACGAATAATGAATCATTGGCGCTTGATGCACGAATCATCACAAAAATTTGAATCATCATCTCGCACAACGCACACAATTTCGTTTGCGTTCCAAATTGAAAATAATCTTTGAAGCACCTATTAATATCTATCATGACAGCCATCATCTTACCCAAGCTATTCGGTAAACACAACACCGCTCATTCCAAGGATGATTGCAGTAACTCACATACAACATCGTCACTGGCCTCAAATGCCTACGACGAGATGATGGGACTGCTTGGGACCTCCCAACAAGCCGAAGCTCAATGCATTGCCGAAATCAAAGATTCCTTTCGAAAGTTTGGCATCCGTCTGCCACATGAAAAGGTCTTTCGATACGCCAGCTTTTACAACTACAATGCCGAAGAAGCCATCGATCGCATTCGTGAGGATAACGGCAACCCTTACATGCAACTCAAGATGAAAGAAGACCTTCAAGATCAGTTTGGTAGCACCAACGCCCTTTTCCCCCTTCCCGACCTCCGAACACGCAAGACCAACTCGGAAGTCATCTACATGAACCCCGCTCGATTCAACCCAAATCAAGATGACATTGACACATTCATTGACAGTCTGTGTTATGTCCTCAACGACTTGAGCCAAACTGTGGACCAATGTCAGAACGGAGTCACAGTCATTGCAAACATGAAAGATGTTACAATGGAAAACTTCAACAAGGAATACTGTGCCAAGCTCATGCAAGCACTTCAAGGTGACATGGTCCCAACTAATGTCGATGCCTTTCTCATTGTATCGCCGCCATCGTGGTTCGGCAAAGTCTTCAAATGGATGAAATCATCCAAAAAGACCTCCAAGGACTTTCTGAAACGAGTTCATCAACTCAAGGAAGAAGAAGACCTGTCGCCATATCTGATGAGTCAGCCAGAATTGTATCTTCCTGATGGACTATGTGGAGGACACGCTGTTGGGGCCGAGCTATGTGAGGACTATATGGACCTCAAGATTGCGCAGGAGCAACGCCAGCAAGAAGATGCAAGGAAGCAATGAACAAAACTCCCTGCTATCAGCCACAATGCTAAGAACTTTTAACTGGGGAAGACAACAATAATAGACATGTAAATAAACGTATAAAATATAACATATCATACATACAATCCTCGTCCTATGAGCGAAATCTAAAACACTTTTATACGGAGCATCAAACACTTTTTTAACCTTTCGTGAATTTCTCGGTGTATTTGCGGCAGATCGGAAGTTGAAAAAATCAATCAATCTTGACCCTTCTTCTTGACACCTTTTCCTTGGAAATCATGGCGTTTCAAACTTGTGACGTACTTCTTTAGCGTTTTGTACGACTCCGACCTTATTGACATCCGGAGCAACACTCTAATATAGTCAGGCTGGTAAGAGTAGCTGTACACTGTGCATACACTCACCAACACCCATCCTACGGTTACTATTGATGCAAACGAATCGACAATTCATGTCTATTTCATTAACTTATCTACATATCAACAATGTAGTGCCCCACCACAGCATTGTTGACGCATTCAGCATACTGCCTGTTCAATTGGTCTAAAGCCCCCCTCCCCCCTCCAGCAATTCAATTCACATCTACCTGCGTCTTCCCCTTGCCCCAATACCCCTTGACCATTATCATTCAAAGAAAGATTTTTCGTCGTCGTCATCCTCATCATCATCATCGTTGTGATCGAACGAATCAGACTCCTCATCCGACAACTCTTGCTGTGTCACAGTCACCGTTCTGGGAGTCACCTCGTCATCCTCATATCGAGGACGATCTGCCTTTAAATATTGGAGCTCCGATCGAGTTTCGTACCCTTGGGTTTGGACCATGCTCATGACTTGATCCAGCTTTTCGGTCAACATTATGACGCTCTCACGGACTTGAAGATCCGAGTCAACTCCGGTTGCACCAGTGGTCGTGGCATGCCTACTATTATTAGTACTGCGTGTTTTGTTTCGGGTAATGTATTCTGGTACCTTTCGATTGCTGTTGTTTTCCTTAATTACTTGTTGCAACTGCCCTTGCGTCTCTTTGCCCTGTAACGAGACGGCCTCCAATTGCAGTTGTAACTTTCCCACGACCCCATTCAAAAGGTCAAACATGGACGTCAAGTTTTCGACCTGTGATCGCAATGAGTTCACTTCCCTTTGTAAACCATCACGCTCCTTGATAATCGTAGTAGTAGTACTATGTAGGGCTTTTGTAGTCGTAGTCCCAGTAGTCTTTCGTCGGTCTTGTCGTTGCCATTCCGGAATTTCAGGCCTGGCCGCGTTCGTTTGAATTGTAAGATCAGCAGCAGAGACTCGAGCAGTAGTAATAGTACTGCGCCTCCTCGCAATCTCTTTGGTTTCTTCTTCGTCCGCAATCTCTTGCACTTTGAGATAGACTTCTCTCCAAAACTCGCTGGCGTTGGTTCGATCCTTGATGGCCGTTTCAGGAATGGCATCCTCCGCAATCGATTTCACAGTGAATGGAACCCCAATCACTTTTAGGGCATCACACCACTGAAAGGTTCCATGGTGAATCTTGGTCAATCCTTGATTCAACGCAACTTCCTTCAAGGCGATGCAGTCCACAAAGGCGTAACTTCCAAGGTGCACTACCGTGGAAGGGATGCACACATATTCCAACAAACAACACCCGGAAAAGGAGGATTGGGATATCTGTTCCAGCCCATAATTCAGGACGAGATACTTCATGGCAATGCAGTTTTCAAAAGCACCAAGGCCAATCTTGCGAGTACAGGACGGAAGCCTCACATATTGCAGCGACTTGCAACAGGAAAAGGCATAGGAACTGATCCGTTCCAGACCTTCCGAGAACTCGACATATTTGAGATTCTCACAGTCCTTAAACGCAATGGGCCCAATAACCTTGACAGATGAATCAATCCGAGCCCAAACGACGTCCTTCGGGACCTTCTGCTTGCCTCCCGTGTAGACAAAGACGTCGGTCGCCATGTGGAGGAGACAGATATAAGGTTTGTGTGTAATATCTCAGATAGATTCACCCAGAATAGCTTGATCCTCTAATTTTGACGCCAGGCAAATCAGAAAAGCTCAATCTTATTGCTGCAGCAACCAATAGCGCCAACCAAAGTACTTTTTCTTCCTTGTGTTATCGCATGTGTTAACGCTGCTTCTAATGTGTTAACGCTGCTTCTCCCCTCCAAACAATAATATTGTGCCACTGGTGCGTCCATAATTTCGGAACAGAATTCGTAAAACGACTGCCTTGTCCGTGACTCAATCTTAATATTGTATAAGTGTTTCCTTTCTACGTTAAGTAATCGAGACAGCGAGCGCATGTCACACGTACCGGTATCAGTACATCATTCAACATCTATAAATTATATATAAGGGGTGGTCCGCTGGGGTCGACAATATAAAGTACCGGCACTAAACCGCATTTGCTTCATTTGGTTTTCGAAGCTTTTTCATGGTTTCTAATCAACGTAACTTATATGATGCATCGGAAGTATAAAAACATGGAACTGTGATTTACGGGGCTGTAATCGTATGTTTGGTTTCAGTCGCTGCTTCAGCAGGCTGTGCATCTTCTCTCAATCACCCGAGCCAATGACTTCATAGACGCACTCCCTTGCTCCTCTAAGAATCGAATCAAAGTCTTCTATTCGCTTGCCAGACTCAAAGGTTTTACCTCCCATGACGAATGACAGTTGTTGTTTCGGTAGGCTGTAAACTCCAGAAAGGCCACAACCATGATGATCTCTGACGCTTCCGAGATCGCCTCCATTCAACGTCGTCAACAGCAGACTCCGAGTTTGACTGCGCGCGAGAACTAGGCAATTCAGACCGCAATCTTTTCGTTTCCTCTTGTAAAGCACCATACCTTTCGTCAGACTTCTGGAGCCTATCTTGCAATCTCGCATTTTCTGCCTTGATTGCGCGACATTCGCCAGTAATCTCTGCCTTTTCAGTGTTCAACTTGTGGAGCTTCGGTTCCATACCACTTAGTTTCGCTTCGTATGCCTTTCGTATGAGTTCAGTCTCTTGTTTGAGTTCTTCTGTTGCTTTGTCCAAGTCGGCTTTCTCCTCTGCAAGCTCCTTCCCTTTCTCCTTCAACACATCCCTGTTATCCAAAGTTTCTGCAGATGATGCTAATACTTCATTAGCGGCCGGTGCAATCGGTGGCTTCACATCCTCGATCGGCTGCCTGTTGCTTTCCACCACAATCAATTTCTCTACATTCTCAAGGACCTTTTTCGAAACTTCTTCGTAGTCATTGGTGATAATCTTTCCCATCTTCGATTCGGGGACTGCACCATCATCCAACTCAGTACTATCGTGCATCACAATCAAATCCAAGTTCTTGCAATTCTTGAAAGTGTCCTTGGCGACTTTCTCCAAGGATAGACTCAGAACAACCTCTTTCAGATTACTGCACCCCGAAAATGCTGAGCAACAAAGCTTTGATACTGTAGAGGGGAGATACATATATTCGAAGGCTACACAATCGCGAAAGGCTGCCGTAGAAATAGTCACGAGGCGTTCATTCAATGCGACATATTTGATATTGTGGCAGCCACAGAACACATATGGACCAATGGTCTTCAGTGTTGATGGTGTTTTGATGAATTTCAGCGATTCGCATCCCCTAAAGGCCCCATTGCAGATAGTTACGAGCCCTTCCGAGAATACCACTTCTTTCAACAGGGTGCAACCAGCGAACGCCTTCGCGCCAATTTTTGTCAGCGTTGATGCCGTGATGATGTATTGTAGACCTCTACATCCTTCAAAGGCTTCTTTGCAGATTTCGTCGAGCCCTTCAGAGAATTCCACCTCTACAAGCTTTTTTCGATCGGCAAAGGCCTTCTTTTCGATTCTCTTGCAGCCTGGGTCGATTTTTACTAGGAAAACATCTATGGGAACCACCTGGTTACCTCCAGTATAGACAAACCATGGATCGTCTAGTTTGTCGTCCTTCTGGCCTTCTACTCGTGCTTCATTGTTGACAACTTGCCTTTCAGCGACGTCAGACGATAACGGCATGACAATGCCAAAGTGATGTAAAAATCTGACAGACCAACGCTGCGCTGTGGCAAAAATCAATTTGCTTCTTTCGCCAACTGCTCTAGCCACCGGTCAGTTGGGGAGGTACTGTTCAAATAAGTCTGACATATGTGTATATTATGGGTGCGTGGAAATTTTATAAATCGTGGACGATTGCCATCATCATCCGTTATAGCGTGTATCAAAGCTCATGCGTTGGACATTGTTTTAGCATCGCCTTTCATGTGTGTTCGGTCTCTTGGCCTCCTTGTTGGTGGCTATGTACAGGCGAGTTCTGGAATCTCGCCCATGGAGTGATGAAGTATACTATAGCAAGGATAGACTATGACGTAGTGTACCGGTAGGGTTGCTGCGATCGCATATTGCGGCTGCGGGTGTGCCACGGGCTTTCAAAAACGGGTCCTTTGGGTCCAACTAAATAAATGCTCAAATCAGCCCGCGGGGCACCGTAATAACGAAAGGCAGCCCGCAACAAAGTTTTTTTCCCACAGTGCATCCCAGGAACAAGTACCAGGTACTTGGTGCCGGTACCTATACTCGTACCTCGTACCATGCACATGTAGGTAGTAGAATGAGGAGACGAAACCTGAGATAACCAAGCAAGACTGGTCCTAAGGATAGCTACAAGTATCCTTGTGAGTGGTGTCCTATTGCAAGCGATCGCAACCCAGCCAACCAGCAAAAACCAACTCCATGCACATCGATCGCAAACGGCCTACAAGAGAATTTTTGCTGCCTAAAGTATGTGGATATGGTTATATATGTGGGATTCTTTCACAGGACTCAGCATGACTGCGGCACTCTATATTATTGTATATTTCTACGATAGCCGTATGATACGACTAAGAAAATGCGCGGTTTCTGAATTCTGCATGAAACAGGTTTGTATCGCATAGCGCACAAGAATTTTACCCGACGAGCAACTTCTCTCGTGTTGTCCATAAAGCCACATCTTCAAAAGAATCAGGTGTTTGCCGGTGTCCAAGATGTTTCGAGTCCCATTCCTCTTGCTTCAGGCTATCAGCTGGTGTTTGCTTATTCCTTTCACAAGGGCATCTTCTTCGAGCGCTTATAAATGCAATTTATCGACGCAGCAACAAGTCAATGAAAATGGCTGCGCTTGCCATAGAGACGTTTGTGAGTTTCCAAGTGCAGTGTGGGGGTACTTTCATGACGGCTGTTCTGACGAGAACAATTGCAACAACTGGGTCGTGAAGAAACACGGCTGGCCAATGGGCTCCTGGTGTTTTACTGGTTCCATAAGATCCTTTGATGCTCTTTTCTACGGTCAGTCTTCCTTTAATGATGACATTTCATCCTGGGATGTGTCGCGAGCCACAAGCATGGGGAGCATGTTTCACGGTGCAACATCCTTCAATCAAGATTTGTCATCCTGGAATGTTTCGAGGGTCAGAAACATGTACGGAATGTTTGCTAATGCATCATCCTTCAATCAAGACTTGTCATCCTGGGATGTTTCTGCAGTGAGAAACATGAATGGAATGTTCACCAATGCATCATCCTTCAGCCAAGACTTGTCTCCTTGGGATGTCTCGAAAGTTAAAAGCTCAGAGAAAATGTTTTCAGGGGCTACTCTATTCGAGAAGTCTGTCGTGTGCAGCTCGACTGACGCTTGGAAAGAGAGTGTTGCGTGTACTGAAACTGCAAGTCCAACGAATGCCCCGACATTGGAATCATTATCAATTCCCACAAGTGAAAGCCCAAGTCCTACAAATGTCCCTACAAATGTCCCGACACCGAACGAGGCAAGCCCAACAGATTCCATGACGATGGACTCAGGTGCAGTGCACATACTAGACCCTTTGCTCTGCTTTTCGGTCCCATTGTTCTTGTTGCTCCTCCTACAAAGTTTCCCAAGCTACTAAAGAAAATGTCCTCCCACCACATATCAAATCGCTCATTGGGCTTAGCATATCCACTATGTATAAAAATGTTGAACAAGCAAGGCAGTGGTTCTAGCCATTATTGCTGTTCTGTACTACTGGGTGGTTTATAAAAAACCAAATTATGGATGATTTTTTCTCCCAGATATTTGTACGTATCTCCGTGCAGCATTTTGTTCAAATAAAGAGCATCTCGTCGAACTGGCAGTAAGAGGGCATTTGATGTTTCAAATCTACTGATCGTTAGTTTTCGATTACTCATCCATCCTCCAGATTATTGAAGGAGTAACAATTTGAGGTGAAGTCAAATTGAGGAGCGTGTATCGTGATCGGAGTGACACATGCGAGCTATAGCCGCTATGTATTTTCAATTTCTACGAAAGTTTTGCGGGAACTATGGGAACAACATAGAATTCGCCCAATTCGCAATATCTATGGTAATGCGGTACTGGAACCATGCACAGGTATATGTACGGCAAGAGACCTCAGTGCATTGCGAATGGCCTCATCTCCTCAGGAGCACAAACATGCACATACATATCCTGCAAAAAGACAGCTTCTGAATTCATACTTGCAACTCGACAGGTATCGCACCATGTTTGCCTAACCAATTTTATATTTCTTGTCGAGAATGGTTCGAGTCTCATTCCGCTTGAATGCGACGATCAGCTGGTGTTACTTGCTGAATCATTTGGCAAGCGCAGCTTGTGATTCTTCGAGCATTTTCACTTTCATTTGTTCAAACGGCAATGTATCGGCGAAACAGGAGGCCAATGCCAATGGGTGTGCGTGCTTCAACGACAGCAGTGAACTAAGAATCGCTTTTCGTCAGTTTGTTTTTGACGGTTGTTATGATAACAACAATTGCAACAACACTGTCGTGCAAACGTATGGGTGGCCAATGGGATCATGGTGTGTTTCAAATGTCACAAACATGGAGTTCCTATTCTTCAACGACATTTTCTTTAACGATGACATTTCATCGTGGGATGTTTCTTCTGTCACGGATATGACTGGAATGTTTCAGGGTGCATCATCGTTCAATCAAGACCTGTCATCCTGGAATGTTTCGGCTGTCACTCAGATGGGGAGAATGTTCAGCGGGGCAACGTCCTTCAACAAAGACTTGTCATTGTGGAATGTTTTGGCTGTCACAAATATGCGATTTATGTTCAACGAGGCATCGTCGTTCAATCAAGACCTGTCATCATGGGACGTTTCTTCTGCAACTGATATTGAAAGGATGTTCTGGGGCGCATCATCCTTCAATCAAGACTTGTGTTCTTGGGGAATGAAATTACCCGTTGGTGGAACTACTCAGTCCTTATTCGACGATTCCGGATGTCAATACAGATCTAGTCCTAGTTTGGAAGAAGGTGGGCCATTCTGTGCATCCACGTGCGGCGTAAGCAGTGCGTCGACCACATCTTGTTCCATTTCAACTCTACTATCCCTATTCTTGGCAAGCTTGTTGATATGCTGAACAAATTCCCCGAGATATTTGATAATACACATCAAACATTGGCTGATAATATGAAATAGGACAATTTCGCAACTAGAAAGAATATTTACATTTGGCACGATTCAGACATCTCAGACATCACAAATAAGTTTTGAACAAAAGAGGCTACATATCAACATGTAGCTATACAGATAAAATGTACCGTCAGTAGAAGCCGAGATAAATGGTCCAAAAGCAAATGCTCGAATCCGCATCACTTGTATGATTCATAGAATTGCACACGCTTTGAATCAGTTAGACACTCTATCCACTCTGAGATTCATTGGTATCATTTGTTTCACCTTCAGCTTCAGTTTCAGTAGTCTGCAAGTTCTTCTTCATCTTTGCTAGACGTTGTTCCAATGCTTTTACATGCTTCACACAATTTTCCGGAGACTTTGTCGATGCTTCCTTTGGTGTTCTCTTGCGCTTCCGAGTCGATTGCCAAGATCGCTTCGCTGACGATTCCAGGTCTTCTGCACAGGACTCAAAATGTTCACCTCCCGTGACCGAAGATACCTTAGACCTAGCAGTTCGCGATTGCGAACTATCCAATCCAATCGATATGCCTTCCAGGTCATTTGGGACGGTGTCATCCGCCGACACAACAGAATCATGGCCTCGGCGATGTTCCTGCTTCCGCAATGTTTTGATTTGTTCTCGTAAAGCACCAACCTTTTCAGTTGTCTTGAGGAGGCTAGCATCTTTATCCTCCTTCTCTTTCTGCAATCTCACATTTTCTGCCTTCAATGCACGATAATTGGCAGTGATTTCTAGGAGCCTTTCCACAGTTCCCGCCTTTTCACACTTTTCCCTCTCCAAGAAATCCTTTGTGGATTGGAGCTTCGATTCCGTTTCATTGAGCTTCGACTCGATGTCATTGTATGCCTTGCGCGTGCATTCATTCTCTTGCTCCAACGTCACATTGGCTTCTATCGTAGATTCGTTTTCTTCTGTTGCTTTCTGCAGTTTGTCTTTCATGGATTCGTTGTCGTCAGTGAGTTTCTTCAGCTTGCCTTCCATGTCGGACTGTAGCGCATTAAATTCTTCTGTTTTTCGTTCCAGTGTGGCATGCAAATTTGCAAGCTCCTTCTCTTTCTCCTTCAGCGCATTCCCGATATTCAAAGTTTCCGCAGGTTTTCCATCTTCATTGGATGCCGTTTGAATCGTCGGCTTGGAATCGCCCTGATCGTTCACTTGTTTCTTCTTTCGCTCTGCAATCAACTTCTCGAGTTTGTCAAAAACATCTTTCGAAGCTTTTCTGTGGTTGGTGTCGATTTTGACGTCGGTCGGTTCACCAGCAGCAAAGAGAGTGTAATTCTGTTTCACAATCAAATCGAGCTCCGGACAGTCATCGAACGTTCCTTTGTGGACTTTCTTCAAGGCTCGACTCAGAGCCACCTCCTTCAATAGGCAACACTTTGAAAATGCAAAAGCACCAAGCTTTGACACTGTTGGGGGGAGATGCACAATCTCGAGGGCGCAGCATTCCTTGAAGGCCGACGTGGAAATGTGCTCAAGACGTCGATTCAATTTTATAAATTTCATATTGAGGCAGCCAAAGAACGCACTTGCTCCAATTTTCTTCAATGTCGATGGTGTGACGATGTATTCCAGACCTGCACATTCTTTAAAGGCTCCGTCGCAGATCTCTTGAAGCCCCACTGAGAATTCCACCGCAAGCAGAGATTCCCGCTCTTTGAATGCCTCCTTCTCGATTCGCTTGCAGCTTGGGTGGATGCGCCCACGGACAACGTCATGAGGAACCTTCTGGTTACCTCCAGTGTAGACAAAAACTTGAGCATGCCATTTGGATTTCGTCTGGTCGTCAATTCGTTCCTTGCTGTTGACAACTTGCCCTTTAGCGTCTTCATCAGACAACGTCATGGTCCCAAGGTGATAGACTATATTATGAATGGCCAAGGCTGCGCCGTGGCAAAAATCAATTTGCTTCTTTCGCCAATTTCTGCCGCTGGTCAGTTGGGGAGGTACTGTTCAAAGTCTGACATATGTGTATATTACGGGCGTGGAAATTTTGTAAATCGTGGACGATTGCCATCATCATCCGTTATATGTGTATCAAAGCTCATGCGTTGGACATTGTTTTAGCATCGCCTTTCATGTGTGTTCGGCCTCTTAGCCTCCTTGCTGGTGGCTATATACAGGCGAGTTGTGGAATCTCACCGATGGAATGATGGAACTCTGCATGGTATATATGGCACAGGTTTCTATCACTGCATCTCGTCATTCGCACATTATATACCGAATATATGCTGCTGTCAAAACTATTATTTCAACGGGCCCGGTTTGCGCTCAACCATAGCTCCACCCTCCAATCGGCCCGGGGGGATTTCTGAGACCCCGCATTTTTCTTCATTTGGACTCGTAACGGTAATACAATAAATGAGCGCAATTATTCGACCTTGTATCGGTAGGTACGTATACTTGCAACGCAACAGATCGTACACCATGTTTCCACAGGATAATAGCACTGTCATGATTTTTTTCTTGTAGCTACCTATTTAAGATGGTTCGAGTTGACTGACTGACTCATTCCCTCCGTCGACTGCTCCCACCGAAATCAATCGATAAATTAGTACAATAAAGACCAATCAACCAATAACCATCATGTCACATTCCCAATCAATAAGTTTCCGTTCGTCAACATTTTTCGATTGATGATTCTTTGAGGGCACTTCTCTCGACAATCTTCCAATATGTTTGTTCTTGAACAAACTCCCTGGTCATGTTTACAACAAATTTTCCATTCAAACCAACGAGGAGCGTATGTTCTGATCCCACCAATTTACTGGTCCTAGGCAATCACGAGAAAATTAGAATCCATCGTTTGAAAACAAGAAGAGCCTAAGAAAAAAAAGATTTTTCATTCAAAACAATATCGATTATTGCCTGATATACTATCTATTTCCATAAAACCTCCTTTCTTGGCGTCCGTGCTGCCTGCGCTGGAGACTGATGGACATAGGCATTACCACAGAAGAAGCTCACTGTTTCTTCCTACACCAACATTTCCTCCATTTTCTTGCTGCCGAAACAACATCGCAACATGGCGGTCCATTTGACAGAGTCAGTCCACTAGGCATTTGTTTCATTCGCGGAAACATGCTGGATATTCCTGTGCTCGACAGAGGGAGGTTCTGGCCCTCCATGGATACTACTGTGGACGCAGGAAGACAATGGTCCTCGTTCGATACCATTCTGGATAGCGGCGCGCAGGAATTATTCAAGCGACTCCAGTATTGATTTGGCATTTCGCGAGAAGAATGAAGCAGCAGGGGAATTAAGGAGGGCTGATCACAACCACCTTGTCTGTTGTTCGACCCTGGACGAGCTAATGGGCTTGCAAGAGGAGGTACAAGAGACAGAGGCACAGACAGCACTGGCGATGTTGTACCACCAGAACGAAGAGGGTCAGGTGATGGGATAAAAGCAGGGGCACTTTCGGTTGTTCTTGCTGCTTCTTCCTTCTTGGTGTTCGTAATAGCAGAAGCAGCCGATGCCTCCAATCTTTCACGAATCACATGCTTTGCTCGCTTTCCACGAACTCTTCTGGAGGAGATCAAGGCCTTTCCCTCACGTTGACTCTTGGTGGGGTTCGTGTGGTTGATCTGCCCGCATAGGTGGCGCTTGTCCTTCAAAAAGCAAGGGTGAGCGAAGATGCCGTCGCCAAGATTATCAAACCCGTAGTAAAGAAGTTGACGCTTGAAGGAGTTGAGCTGGGTTTGCCGAGGGAAGTACTTTTGGAGAAGTATCTCTTCAAAGACCAGAGGTTCGTGAATCTTGAATGCTCCACCAGATTGCGTCCATGAGATGATGGAAGAAAGGTGATCGTTGGATTGCATCTCAGTGAGAAGCTCATGTAGTTTGTAAGGAAAAAGAGACATGCTGATGGCGCTGGTGTGTTGTTTCAGTGTGTTTCGTTTTGCTGGTTTGGAATAATATGAGCGACGAAATGAATGCAAAAATTCAAAAAATGTGGGCAGCTTCGTAGACCACAACGGTGCGCAGTACCGGTACCGTAACGTGTAAGCTTCCACGAGATTGTGGCACCAGGAGCTCCCGTGGAAAATTGTTTTCGCACGACATGAGGCAAACATGCCAACGAAGCTCTAATATTTCATGTACGATGAATTTCTTTATTCATTCGTTCTTCAACATTCTTTGAGGGCTTTGTTGACAATTCATCCGCACTCACTGACAGAAGATCCCACGAACCAACGATAACGAGCGTTTAGATCCCATGTACGCATATTACCAAGTCCTACAATGTCAGACATGCGAACTTTCACTGCCACGCCAACGAGCCTACGAAAGCGAATTAAGATTCCGCGTCAACTGCTGCATACCAAAAGCCTGCCGTTGCAACACTACTGTCCCTATTCTTAGCATACCACGGACCAATGTCTGAGCCAGCACTACTACCGAGCCTGCAGCAATGGCCCACAGTATAATGCGATTGGGTAGTATCCTCCTTAGGCTATTGAGAGAAGACTGATCTTTACAAGAAGCCTTTTCGGTAGATTGCATTTTGTCTTTATTCTTATTTGACAGGTCTATATCAGACGATGGCCATGCCACCGCGATCTGACATCTCGCTCCTTGTTATTTTGGTAGTACTCTTGCGTTGGTGCTTCAGTTACCATTATTTTTCTCGTTGGTAGGATCCATATTCACAGGCAACTTATGCAAATATTGATCATGCATGCTGTATTGTCATCAACTTGACCTCACAAGATACGATTTCCAAGCGAATGTATGATGTAATTCTTTTTTAAATCGTGAGGAAGATGACAGAAAACCTGCACACAGCAACCGTTGTGCCGCTATTAGTATCGCCTCAGATCCTTGCGTGTAACAGTGTAAATTCAATATTTCACTGATTGATTCTCTATTACGTTTATGGTACACATACTGTATGCTTCTAATGGCTATGGTTCTCTCTCGTTATCTATTTTCATCGCTTCATTGATTGATTCGATTTCTTCACAAACTATGGCTCTTCAGGACCAGAATCAGGGATAGCGATCCCAACAGACTGAAATGATCCACCACGAACACCGCTGTTGGTAGCTCGCGTCAATTTCAAGTCATTTTTGTATCCACTTTGCTTACTGGTGCTGGGTATGAGTCGGCAAAATCCACCTTGACATACGTCAGTCCCACAACAGACATCACCACCGGTGGTGCAAGAATTGGCTCTTGCAACGCAGGTGATTGGCGATGAAGTCGGGAAAGGAGTGCTGGGCATTTCTGATGGAACTATTGACGGAGGACTGCTTGGCTTTCTGCTGCTAACCACAGTTGGGGAACTTGACGGAGCAAGAGATGGAGAGCTGCTGGGTCCCTCACTACTCAGCTTAGTGGGCGAAATAGACGGAGATGCTGTGGGCCGGTCCGAATCTTTGACAGTGGGAGTTGCGGAAGGAGATTTGGTCGGAGATGATGATGGAGCTCTTGTGGGCATATCTGACGCCATCACGGTTGGGGCAATCGTTGGTGAGGACGACGGAAATCTTGTAGGAAAATCCGAAGCCATCACAGTTGGAGCAATCGTGGGAGCTTTGGAAGGACTGACAGTTGGGTCACTTGTTAATGCAGCAGATGGGCTGATAGTAGGTGACAGTATGGCTGGTTGGGGTGCCAAGGTTGGGCATCCAAAATAAGATGGTGGATTCACTGCAATCGAACAGACGGTGTCGCTCAAGAAGGAATCATCCTCCAAGAAGGTTCGGATACCAACAGCTGGATACTCTTCTCGAGCACAATCGATGCCCCTAGATTGGATATTCGAAAGTTAGTTCAAATTGTATTCCATCCATTGAAAATTCTCCAAGACCAACTTACCATGCCACGGTTCCAATTTGGACATCATCTTCGGGGGTTTCTCCAAGAAGTATGTATGGGCTTCCCGAGTCTCCATAACATTGTCCCTTGGCACTCTCCAACAAGCTGCAACATAATTCAATCGTGAGTGGCACGATTCAAATGTATACACAAGCAAACATTTTGGTTTCGGAAACGAATACATACCATATCATATCATTGGATATTTTGGGCACGAAGAATTCATATTCGTCATACATTTCTTGACATTGGCGATTGGACACTACTCCCATGGTAACTTGTTGCAAGACTTTCGGAGGATCTTGTGTTTGTTGCGTGGAAGAATATGTTTGCCCCAATCCCAGTACTGTCACACGATCGGTCAATACTGGAAGAGCGGCATCGCCACCACCCTGTAACAAATTCAGTCGAACTACCGGCCGGGTGGCACTTGCGGGTGATTCGAGCAAAACCAAGAGTTGGTCGTGGGAACGATTGCTCAAGGTGAAACGTGGATTCGAGTATGTATCGACAATAGGAATACGTTCGGCCTCATTGTGTTGGACATCAATTTGGCCATGGTACTTTCCAACAATGGCAAATTTCAAATTAGTTCTGTAGAGAAGCAAAAGTAAAAACACAATAATACGTGAGTGCAAAGTCCATTCATGAACATTGTCAGTGCTAGAACTAAGCATAAAATACAACTTACAGACCACAGTGTGCTGCCGACAATACCACGTTGGAAGCAATCAGACTACCACCACAAACAATTCGATCTCGGTCGTCCACCAACGCCACAAAATAGGGATACCGATCTGGATCAGGAGCCTTGATACCATTGACAATTCGTGGCTGCGGTGCTATTCTAGGATAACCCATCCATTCGGCAGTGCGTCGTAGAGTGGAATGGTGCATCCTCGTCTCGGTGGCAGTGTTGTCTTGTTGTTGTTGTTGTTCGTTTCCGTTCGGTTTCATGACTTTGTTTGGGTTCCTTGATCCAATCATGGTGGGATTATCGTGGTTTCTCGTAGATGATACTCCAAGGAGATAGCATAGAAGCGTTGTGCATGCGATGAATTGGGAAGACATCATACTTGTTGCCGTTGTTGTGATTTTGAAATGTTGTGAAGATTGTCTGTTGGAGAAAGGCAATGATGGAAGCTCTAGGTGACCGTTGGTTTGTCCCAAAAGAAAGGTCGCAAGCACCTCTGCTTCTTACTCGGATGCGGAAAGGCTGATTTTGGTTGTCGTGTGAATGTGACACAAGATCGGAACGTTACGAACGGATAGATCCAACTTGTTTAGAATGGTCTTGGTTTTTGCTTTCCGATTATGACGCGTGAATCGTGAGTGAATGAACCGACGACTTGATGTGCCGGCCAGCTCATTTTTCAAAGTGAAATTCCTTGCTTGCGTGTATTTTTCATGTGGGAGTCAAAACCAAAATTCAAACATGTGGAGTTTTCTAGTACCGAGGTGTGGAGTCAGTCAGTCAGTCGTCAGTCAATCGATCGGATTATCAAAACAATCTTTACCGGTACCTGGTACTGATAATACGAGTACCCCGCATATAAACACAGACAAAAACAACAATCACAATAATCCCCACTATGAATAGGCTTTCATTCAACGGCGCCACTGCAGCGTGTCTCGATGATGCAATGAGACTTTCAAATGACTCCAATGCTGTTTCACTCAGGAGTTTCTCATAGTAACGAGCAGGATCCATTTCACTTGGCCACGACCTTGGAAATGCAACAAATAAAACAGCATCCTCTTGTGCCGCGATCTCTGAATATTTTGCGACAAGAATGATGATTTCTTGGATCCGCCTTCTATTTTCGATATGTATCATAGTTTCGCCAAGTCAGGCTGTTCGGTCTTCCTTCGCGTCGCAAAACGACCGCATTCAATGAATCTCTGGGCAACATCACGGCATCATCAAGTTTCCACTCGAATGACGACAAACCATTCAATCAGACATTGCCTTCAGAGATGGCATCACGGGACATAGTCTACAGCCCTCTTCAAAGGAAAAATGATAGGTAGATTCACCCATCAGTACTCTCCATCGCTTCAATGCAAACCAAGAAAACGCTTCAGGATTGCGTGAGAAACTACATTTATGGCGTTTGCTATTTGTGTCGAAATGTACTCCCATTCACATTTTGGAAAATAATTTTGGCACAGTTTCCTTCATTCCTGCTCGAATCCCTATTCCAATGGTTGAAAAGTCGGAGTTCTGCCCATCGCAGCCATCTGATAGAAGCTTGTGGCAGCGTCATATGCGTTAGCACCATCCTATGCTACGTTCTCATTCGGATTCTGGGAAGTCCTGTTCGTTGGCTCTCCTGGTCACAGGAGAAAGAGACGATTATTTACCGTGTACTTGTCGGTCCTATTCGGGAGGAGATAATCTGTCGACTAATACTGCAGTATGTTTGGGTCTTGGTCCAGGATTTGATTCGGTCGAGATCTATCCAAGCACGCCAAATGTCACAAGAGCAGGCGAGCAAAGAGTCGAAACCTGCTCTTTTGGGCCTTTTGAATCATCGATACTCCTTTCGATTGCTGAGTTCTCTTATTTTTTGAGTCGCTCATATTGGAAACCATTGGGATCTGTATTCAAGCAACGATATTGATGTCCAGCAGAAGTTTGTATCGCACGGCATCTTTTCTGCGGTCTCCGCGTTGCTAAGCAGTTTCCTTTCCTTCGTTCCTCTGTTTGAGAATAGAGGTGTGATGGCGGCTATTGGGGCGCATTCGGCTTGGAATCTAATTGCAACATTGTGGCTGAACAAAGCTTTTAGGTCCATTTTGTCTTTGTTATCGTTATTCTGGGCACTCAAAGTCGTTCATGATAGTATTTGTGACGATGGAATGGACGTATTTGAAGCACTGTGCCCTCTCCATATCCATCAGAGATGGATTTCAAAAATAAGCGGCCCATGTTAAAATGGACCCCGGCAGAAATCGCTAAATATAATGGCCTGACGTTGAAGTGTTTGTTACGGCGAAGCGAACATGATAAATTTTACCACCTGACTTCGCGGCATTATAAATAGGATCTATCAGACGTGGTTCCTTGGTGTATCTTTTCTCCTTTCCATTTAGCTTAGCTGCAATGGAAAATATCTATTGTTCCGGAGTCGAAGCTCTTTACGTCTGAAGAACCTATTCGGAAATATGTCTTTTTTCCGGAGTTCTATTCTACGAGCATTATTCATAATTAGCACTGTACGCAAGTAGCCCTACTTCTTCGGGTTCTGAAAATCGTAGTCTTGGAATCCACCATTACGAAGCAACATTATAGTGCTCACAACACCATTTCCATTAAAATCCAAAAGCACAATGTCACTTCAAACATTCATGGCCGAACTACTGCAAGAAAACCAAGCAGCAGAAATAAGAATCATACGAGACGATGCTTCACTAGACTCGTCGTCTAACCACTCCCAGCAGTCGTTACGCTCTCGAAAAGCTGTGAATTGTTGCAGAAGCAATAAGCCTCTTGATCGGTTCGGGGTAAAGTGTGGTGCAAACGCACAAGCTCCACCCCGCATGCCAATCAGAGCCTCTGAAAGGGGTTGAGGCGACAACAAGAAATATCCGTTGGCTGGATGACATCGCTCGACCCATTTTAATCAAATGATCTGTACCGAGAACAGTTGACCGATGGGAGGGTTCTCGAGGAGATTTCCCTCTGATCTAAACCCGTACGAGGTTGTCGCTCGTAGCACATCTCTGCAAGATCTGCCAGTGCGAGATGTTCTGGGCAATGTGGATATGAAACCAACCTTTCTATCCTGGAGAGCTTGGCATGATCTATAGCCCTTCCATAATCGAATGAACAAACTCAATACTAGAATATCATCTCCCAACCCTACAATAAATTGACGCCTAGAGCTTCGAATCATTATCTAAGCATTTTAGTGATCAATAAAACAATGAACGAACCAAAAATCAACACTTTTTAGAGTGCTACTTCTTTTGCTTGCTGGATAGTCAGTGTGATAGGCTACCGGCAGCTATTGTCCGAAAAGATCGTTGCCACCGCTATCATCGGCGCCGTCTGCTGAAATTATGACCCCGTGACTTTTTCCTAGCCAGTCAATACTCTCATGGCACGAGGATTGGTGTGACGAAGCTTCCCAGTCATCATCTGGTTCCACGTTTTCTGATATGACAGCTACAGGTTCCAAATCGTCCAGGATATCATGCTCGGAACCAAATTCAGATTCAGAGAGTGCGCCATCCGATAGCTCTCCTACTGGATCTGATGGTGTCTGCATTTGATCCGGCAGTGGGATCATGGAATCCTTGTTCTTGCCAGAATCATCCAAAGGCTCTTTTCCAATTTCAGTTATATGCACTGTTGAATTACCGGTCGTTGCCTTCTCGATCTTGCCAGAATCAGCAGAAGGCTGTTTTACAATTTCAACTAGTTCCGGTGCTGGGATGCCCACCGTGGCCTTTTTACTCTTGACTGAATCATCAGAAGGCTCTTTTGTAGCCCTTGGTGACAAACTGGGTCGCTTCTTTTTTGACGCTTTCTTCTTCTTAGACGGAGTTTGTGATGATTTCACCGCATTCACGGCTTTCTTCTTTTTCGATGGTGTCTTTGGCGATTGCACCGCTGCCAAAACTTGTTCAGGAGCAGCTTCCATACTATTGAGTTTTGCTTCGACGTGTCGTGAAAGCAAGTCCATATACTCCTTGTTTCTCAGTTGCATGACCTGCTCCAGCTGTTTATTCTTCTTTTTCAGCGCGGTGTTTTCTTTTTGAAGGATTGCGCATTCTCTTGCCGTCTTCTCGAATTCTTTTCGTGTCTCTTCAGCCTGAGCCTCAATAAAATCAATGTGCTCTTCGAAGTCTTTGACATCAACCATGTTTGGCTGGTCAAGTTCTAGCATGTTCTTTGCTTCGGCTAATTCGTCACGTTGGTCCAAAGCTTTTTCAAGTAGCTCTTGTGTCGCCTGTCTTTGTTCGTCCACAAATGTGAGCTCTTCTTGTAGCTCCTCTGCGAGCGACAGTGCACCTTCAAGTTGGACCCTTCCCTTTTTTATTTCCTCAACGAGCGAATCTTTATCCTTGGCAGCGGACTCAAGGTCTTCCTCGGTCGTTTTGGCTTTTCTCTTCATATCATTCAAAAGTCCTTTTAGCATGTCAATTTCTTTCCTTGCCTCCGCGAGCTCTGATGCATGCACTAGATCTGATGTATCGTTCTCTGGTGGGCCGCCTTCCGAAGATTCCACTGTTCTATACTGTTCCACAAGATCAGCTTCCACTTCTTCAGCGGCTACCGCAACCTTGGTCCAGAACTTTTCATTTCTAGTATTCTCTATAATGACTTCGTCTGGTACAGCATCGGACAAGAGAAAGCATACTTCTGATGGCATGTACACGAATTTCAGTTTCCGACAATTCGAGAATGCGCCACTTTCGACTTTTTCAAGTCCCAGATTGAATGCTACCTTTTCCAGTCCGCTACAGCCTAGAAATGCGCCCTGTCCCACTAGTTGAATTGTTGATGAAAATGCGAGGTATTGAAGCGCTTTACACTCGGCAAAGGCCGAAGTTCCAAGTTCCTCGAGTCCGTCGTTGAAGAGTACGTGCTTCAGCTTCTTGCACGAACGAAACGCCCCCGTCTCGATTTTTTTCGTGGTACTCGAGAGCCGAACGAAGGCCAACTGTGCACAGCGATAGAATGCACGATGGCCAATCACTTCTAGGCCGTCGGAAAACTCGACAAACCGCAACTCTTTGCAATCTGAGAATGCGTTTGGTTCAATCTTTTTCACGGTTGGATGAATATGAGCTCGAACAGTATCTTTTGGGACCTGTTGGGATCCTCCCATGTAGATGAAACGCTGGTGTGACATTTCAGTTACCGATCTTATTGGGAAAATTATTGGTATTTTGTTGTTGTTGTTGTAGAATTGGGTATTACACCAGTTATATATCTATATGGTGATGCCGGAGATTTTTTCGAGGAGAAGTATTTCGGAGTTATTTTTCCGTTCGTTTTCCGGGTACCGATATGACTGCGCTCGAAAGGGCATCTCTATCAAGGATAAAGTCTCTACTATATGTTTTTCTGTCGTGAATTGCACACGTGTACCAGTGCAAAACGTGTTGTTGTTCGTTAGCAATTGTCGTTCGTAAAAACGGCGTAATCACCCCTTCGAAGTTGCCGAGCTTGAAGGACAAGGTTCCATAAAAATCCAAGCAGATCAGCAGGAAGCTTGTTATTTAAGGAGTCTACATGCTGATTGGCTAGTTTCCCCATTGAGTTCTGGTAGAACGGTCTGTAGATAAAAAATTGCATATTTTTTATTTGGGCGCTCTGAGGCCGCGCCAGAAAACGGCGTAGTCTTTCAATTTCGTTCATCACGTAGCATACGGTACGTAGAATAGTACCATTAAAACTTCAAATCTCCCACCAATAAAACAGAAAGAAACGATGGGGAAGTCAAGCAAGAGGCGTACGCAAGTAGCTCCAGAGGGGTCAGATGTAGAGATGGCCATGACAAGGGAGAAAAAGAGATTGGTAATGCACAAGATTAGAATGATGCATCCAAGTATCGACATCAAGCGATCGGATATCATACCTTTGATCCACAAAGCGTGGACTGTATCCTTCGCTCGGAAAGAACAAAATCTCCATGCCATCATCGCAAGAGGATGGTACCATCTTGACATGAGACTGTTGAAAGACACAGATATCTTGAACACACGGGTGGCTCATGTCAACACTCCCGAACGATCCACTGCAGCATTGGACGATTCTGGAACTCCACCAACTCCCCGAACAGCAGGAACTCCCGAATTGGTTGATTGTAATGCTACTGCTGACAACATTGGACCCTTAGCGCTCCTCAACATGAATGTTGGCAATAGCGAAATCATGATTGATCTTGTTCAATACATGCGCAAAAATGCTGGCGCCCAAGCGGCTCTGCAAGAGCGCAAGGGAAAGGTTGCTCTACGAGGCAACGCCCATGAAGGGTTCTTGAAAGATTCAAAATTCACTACTGGGGGCATCTTCAATTCGGAAATCCATTGATGCTTTTCACAGTCGCATGCAAAAGTATGAAAAGCTCGAACTCGATCGGCAAAAGCCCAACTCCAAACCAATCACTGTGAATCAACTTGCCATATGGTTCAGCGTTCGGAAGACGAAGGCAGACAAGATCCCAAAGCGGAAGGATCTCCAGATTGCATTGATGGAAGAATGGGCTGGTCGACCGATCCTGACGCTCAAACAATATCTTCTTGATCAAGGCAAAGATGAGATGTATGTAAATATGGTCTTTGCAGAAAGAGCCAGCATCGCAGCAGAAGCAGAAGCTGTTGTAGAGGAAGGATCTGATGGGGATGGATTGTTGGCTGATCGTCGTCTTGATATGACTGCTGTTGCAAATGGTAGTGAGAATTCCATGATGGTTGAGCTCTGATTTTGAGAATTTGAAACTACGCCGAAAATCTGTTCTTTTTTCACGTAGCTCTAGTACATTTTTGCGTAAAATTGCATTTGTCGTTCGTGGCCAAAAATTGACCAAAAACAATCCAACGAAACCCTTCAGCTGAGCTCGCAATTATAGACCTACCAGCATTCTCACTACATCTTCAGGTAGATTGGACATTTCTAGACAAGGCTAAGGGGTGGAGAAGCGATCTGGTAAACTCGAAATCGTGGTCGGAAAGCGGACAGATTACGCCGTTTTTACGAACTACAACACATTTTGCACTGGTACCAATCGGATCCAATGTGGACCGAAACTCCGATGTGTCTGCTATTATTTTTGAAACATTTCACCACCCTCACTTTTCTTTCAAGCGAGAAGCAATTAGGCAACATGATGAACAATGTTCTTGACACCAAGTACCAAAGGTCTCAAGAATTTCCACCAGTCGAACAAATGGCCCTATCCACCAGAAAAAGACGGGACGCAGGCTCTGATTCGCCAACGACTTGCGGATTTCAACCCCTCTTTTGTCATAAATTTCACTGACAATGATGTTGTCTCATACATTTGACTGACAATGTTGTCTCCAAACTCGCATGTAGGTTGGATGCTTGCACACAACGCCATCCGAATGGAGATCGAGGAAATGATTCAGGCGATGGAAGCTTCTAAGAAACGCGGCGGTATACAGAAATGGGAAGAAATAGCCTGCGTCACCAAGGCGTGGAAGACTCACTATTTGCATATTCACTCTCACCATTCCAACAAAGATGCAATGCTTATGCCCTATTTGGAAACGCGAATCAGTTATCCCGACAAGTTGACCTCAGACCACAAGGAGCTGGTGGCCAAGCTCGATAGAATCAATGCGATTGTCGAGTCGCTCGGTCAGAAGGAAGAAGGAGACTCTGTAACGGAAGTGTTTGGTGAATTGCGTGAATACCAAGGACTAATGCTTCCACACTTGAAAGAAGAAGAAGTATCTAGAGCGTATTTCGAGCCTCCTGAAATTGGTGAAATCACTCAAAGGATACTCGCCGTGGCTCCAAAGGTAGGATACGCCTCTTTATTTTGGACAGATTGCCACCCCGAGAAATCTCAACTCTCTTTTGTTTTGCACTCATAGGTCGAGATGGGATCATTCATTGTATGTCAAGGTATCAACGAATTCCGCAATGGATTCATGGAATGCCCAATTCAAACCATGCGCTGCTGAGTTCGACAAAGACTTTAACAAATCAGCAGTGGACGCTCTGAAGAGTGGAACCGACCTGGCAAAGAAAGCTTGCTGCATTGTCCATTACACAACATTTAGAATGAGTCGAGACCATTTTCGGCCGGACAGACCAGAAATATAATCATTGTAGACATCATGGAATGTATAGTAGCTATATATACTTGCAGCAGCCTTGTGGAATCTCTGATAAGTGAACACCGAGGAGTTTAATTGCATTTTGGTATATTGTGAAATTATAGTGTATACATCGTAGTTGTATCATAAAGAAATCCACAGACTATCGCCATGCATACCAGTTCTACGTTTGGACATCAGGCATTAGGCCTATCCTATAATAACCGCGTGCGCACGTACAACGAGACGTGATTCGAAACCGTTCAACGAACTACAAAACGTAGTTGACTAGATGGAATGCATTAACATTCATGCGGTCTATCAGATTGAATATAAAACAACTCAAACTTCTCTCCAACCTCCTTTTTACTGTAGATACTGTAATTGTCTATTCTAGACACTATATTCAACATATCATCAAGACTTTTCTGGGACCAGCTGGCGCCGGGTTAATTGGTACAACCGCTGCTAATAAAGTGAAAAAGGCACTGGCCAATCTGAAGTGGTTGCAATCGCATTTGGAGACATTTTTCTCAATGACGGGAAGTTGCCATCTGGTGCTAATGAAGGATCCTAGGTGTCAACATTTGGCGCAATATTCCGATCCGGCAAACTGTAGCAATGAATGCCAGAGTTGCCAGTGACAGAAAAAAGCGCTACTTTATTCAGGAAGAAGCAGATGTGCAGCATTCACATCCTCCATTTCAAACATGGCAATTTCGCCATCCTCCCAATCATTATTGTTTTCATCGCCAGAGATTAACACCATGCTCTGGGTGCACAACAAGTCAACCAGATCTTACTTGTCGGTATCACACATGATAGCAATCGACTCGCTGACCTATGTTTGCAGCAACTCCTCCTGGAGAAAAGCAGCTACCGGTATGCCAATAATTCCGGCATACAGAATCGCATGCCAGGTCAAATGCGACAGTCCTCTGCTCCAAAGTTCGGTGACTAGTTTCTAAGAAGTGACGGCGATGTTCTGCAAAGCGAGCGAGCAGTTCGAGAGACCACGTACAAGTGTACATTATACAGTACGTGTACCGGTATGACTCCAGTTAAACACAAGTGGAAAGGCTATGGAGATGAAACTAATAGCTCAAGTTCTGCGAAAAGAGAGCGAGCGTGCAGTTGGACTGACCAAACGAACCGTAGACTTGTACCATGAACCGGACAAACAACATCATGCTGCATACAGTCTCCAAAGTAGCGCATGCAAGGCCAAATTCGACAGTGCTCTGCTCCAAAGTTCGGTGACTAGTGACTAAGAAGCGACTAAGAAGTGACGGCGATGTTCTGCAAAGCGAGCGAGCGGTTCGAGAGACCACGTACACGTGTACATGTACATTATACAGTACCGGTATGACTCCAGTTCAACACAAGTGGAAAGGCTAGCTAGGGCGATGAAACTCTAATAATAGCTCAAGTTCTGCGAAAAGAGAGCGAGCGTGCAGGTGGACTGACCAAGCGATTGTACCGTAGACTTGTTCCATGAACTGGACAAACAACATCATGCTGCATACAGTATCCAAAGTAGCGCATGCAAGGTCAAATTCGACAGTGCTCTGCTCCAAAGTTCGGTGACTAGTGACTAAGAAGCGACTAAGAAGTGACGGCGATGTTCTGCAAAGCGAGCGAGCGGTTCGAGAGACGTACACGACCCCATTCGAACACAAGTGGACGAAATAGCTTCGAGGTTCGCAGGTTCTGCGAAAAGGGAGCGAGCGTGCAGTTGGACTGACCAAGCGATTGTACCGTAGACTTGTACCATGATGCCACTTGAGAGCAAGATCATGAGCAAGTGACCATGTGCGTATGCGGTCATCCAAAATCCGCGTTTACGAGAAAATCGTGCGAAACTCCTCCTCCATCTTCACAAAAAAGAAGACGTTCAAACCAAACAGATTAAGTTATCAACCGACAAACAAGATCATGACCCTCGATCCTCTTGACAAGAAATACCAAAAGTCCCCCGATTTTCCTCCGGATAAAGCGGACAACTGGCCTTACCCACCCGAACAAGATGGTTGGATGCTTGCTCACAATTCTATTCGCAAAGAAGTCGAACAGATGATTGAAGCTTTGGAAGCTTGCAACAAGAGTGGAAACGTCCAGCAGTGGCAAGCTGCTTGTGTCAAGAGATTTTGGAAATCGTAAGTTGAAGGTCGTGCCTAGTCTGTTTGGTGCACCTGACTGGATCTTTCTCACGCATAATTCTACTCGTCCTCGTCACCTCCTCTTCATCCGAATTCTCTAGTCACCATATCCATATCCACAGCCATCATTCCAATGAGGATGACGTGATGACTCCCTATTTGGAAACAAGAGTCAACTACCCCGAGAAGCTTACCTCCGATCACACTGATTTGGTGAACAAACTTGATCGAGTTGATGCACTTGTCGAGTCCCTTGGTCAGAAGGAAGGTGACAATCTTGCGGAATTAATCAAGGAGATGAAGGAATACAAAGAAATTATGTTTCCACACTTGAAAGAAGAAGAAGAACTGGGTCTACCTTTGTCTAGAGCATACTTCACAAAAGAAGAAATTGGTGCACAAACTCAAAAGATTCTCTCCCGTGCTCCCAAGGTAGTCTTCCCCTCGTTTTTATGTTGCATAGATCATCTTTCTTTGAAATCTCATCATTTTGTGTTTCGCACGCATACAGGTCGAGCTTGGATCTTTCATTGTATGCCAAGGAGTTGATGAATTTCGCAATGGTTTTATGAAACGTAACCAAATTCCCACAATTGCTTGGTATGCCCAGTTCAAGGGGTGTGTGGCGGCTTTTGACCAGGAATTCACAAAGCCATTGGAGGCAGTGAAAACTGGAACCGAGCCTGTCGAAGCAAGTTGCTGCACTATTCAGTAGATGGCAGTCCCGCATTAATGTAATCGGCACCTTGTCGAAGTGAAAGTTTGATAAACTTATTAAAAAATGAATGTTGCATTACTGTGTTTGTTCAAAGTACGTGACTGATAGCTTGGCCTCCTTGAACAAATGGGAGTAGCACAAGTAAACCTGTCGAAGATGGCCATATTATTTAATGAGTAACGGGCGCCCAAACCCTCCCTGTTGCCTCCAAAGCAAATCAAAGGACGAGTCCCGCCGTTTTCAATCATCACTCCACTTGTCGCAGTTCAGATACCAAGCAGGCGATCGTCGGAGAAAGCTGGAAGGCGGGCGAGAGAACTAGAACTACTGCCAGTTACATCGATAGTTCTTCGGAGTCGCAGAGGGAAGCGAAGGAACTGCATCGCGGGCAGCCGGTGTTCGTTACGCGACGATTACCTTCCAAAATCTGATGGCGTGTGGTCATCATGGGACGACTGGCCGTCATCGTCTACTTCCGCTTCTGCTACTTCGTCCAATTTTCCAAGATCTTCAGCTGTTGAGTATACACTGCCCGTGAAGTCAACACCAGATACGTGTGTCCTGTGATTGTCTCGCAGGGAGAATTTCCGGAAAGAGTTAGATTCCGCGGAGTTGCGTTGGTCGGCTTTGGAATACGTCGAGACCGATTCGATTCCGTTTTGCCTCACACTGGCTGTGTTGCTTTTTCTTTGTGCTTCCCTGTGAGCTTTCTTCTTTTGCCAGACAATGGGAACAAAAATCAAGCAAAGCATAGAGACACAAACCAAGAATATAGCACCAATCTGAAGAAAGTATCTGGCAGCAGGATTGTCACTTTCAATTAGAGCAAGCATAGGACCAACGACCAAAACCAATTGAACCCAAGTGAATAAAGCTAGTGCTACACGCTTGCTCTCGGAGAATTCACTGCTCACATTTCGAACTCGGTAGGCCATGTACGATGCGCCAAATAGTGGAATCGCATTCACTATGAAAACCACCGCCGTCATTGCTGTTCCAAATGTCTTATCATCTGACTGACAAATGCCGTACGAATTCCAAGGCTCTCCTTCCACAGACTCTCGTTGAAATCGTAGGGGAGAGACAATCGACCACGTCAGCAGAACAGTACAGTTCAACACAAACATAACTGCGAATGGTCCAAGCACATTCTTAACTCCCACATTCACTCGTCGTCCCATTTCCGTTGCCTTGAAGAGTCGCTGGATTCTCCATAGTTTGGAGAATAAGGCCGACATTGCCACAATGAAGCCCAAACTCAACAACCACGGAGTGGAGGCGCAGGCAATATCGGATGATTCCTGGCTCACAATTTCATCATCAATGCTCAGCGGAATCATTACTGACGCCATGACGAAAACTCCACCAGAAATCGCGCAAAGAAATTCTGGCTGCAAAACACGAACAACTTGCATCTTGCGATACGCAATGACCCATCCAGTGAACCCCAGAGCCATGAGACAAGCAATTGCCGCCAATACAAAACCAACATACCGAATCGAGCCTAACTGATTCAAATCCTCAGGTGGATACTTGCGCGCGAAGATTTCGAAACTAGCATCGCGACCAGTACATCCTGGATAGTTGCCCCCATCGACAACCCCAAAGGCAACCGTACCTTGCCCTGTTCCTGGTTCCAGCATGTCCAGATTGACTCTGAAAGTGAGCATCAATGTCTGGCCTGAGGTGACGTCCACCGAAGTACTGTTACCACTAAAACTACCGACTTCGACTCCAGAGTCTTCGTAGGACGCAGAGGTAATGGAGACCCAAGAGGGCATGGACTTGACCAAAACAGCAATGTCAAAGAGTGCTGTATTGACCAATCGAATGGTTCTGTCCGATCCAGCGTCGCCATCAAACTCCAATTTTGCACTGAGGAAGGATACTGAAGTCTCGTCCGGACACTCGGAACAGGAGGCGATCTCTTCTTGCCAATATTCTCCTGGGAGACAGGAATCCGGTGTCTGCACTAGATTCAACGGCGTCAAGAGATCCGTTCGATTCACCAATCGGTTTCCTTGTCGGTTTGGGTCATAGGGCGTTTGTTCAAACTGTGCCAAGTAGTCACCGACCACTGTTTGAATGATAATGTCGCTACCAATTTTGCCTGGAACTTCACCAGTTTGTGTCAGCGACTCGTCTCCAAGCAAGATTGGATATTCAACAAATCCAGAGCAGGTATACGAGTCTGTCACAAAGGAATACAAGCCCAATCGATCCACATTGGCGTATTCTTGCCGATCCTCATTCCATACTTCCATCTGAACCAATCGTGAATCTTCGGGCAATTGCAAATTGTACGATATGCGCAGTCCCGATACTTGCAAGAGACGATCTCCCAATTGGGTATTTTCTCCTTCGAAGGTACTGTAAGTGACCGAATAATTAAAGAGTTGAAAGAGCGAGACTCCGGAAATGACTCCTGTGCAAAGGGTATTGTCAAAAGGAAGAGACGACCAAATGTTGGATACCTTGACACCCCCTTCGTCCCATCCCGGTCCTCGATAACCCCCACTGGCTTGGAATCCCACATCCGATTGGGTGTACCAACGAGCCGCATCATTAAACAAGTTGCCAACCTCGCATTCCCCCGCCTTGCAACGACGATATGTTCCGTCCCGTTGGGGAGGCACTGCCATGGACTGACCCACCACGGGATCATTGGTGGCTGCTTCGTCCGCCAATGACCTTAGAATGGATTGCTGATCCAGGTAGACTTGATCCTTGAGATTGTCCGGAATGACTTCCATGTCTCGTTCGATCTTTTCAATAGAAGCAATCGCTCTTCCTCCGTCCGCAATCGTCAATTCGAGTTGGGTATAGACATCATCTTCTACTTCGTAGGTGACAATCCAAAGACCACCTTTGGAGTTTGGCAATCGTATTGGTTGCATGTAGTCATCAATGGGTTCTTCGGTATTCACAATCAGAGCCGGTGGATTCTTGTGATTAATGACCGGGGTCAACCAGGCTTCAAAATTGGACCGGGTGTCGGCATACAAAATGACTGGAATCCAACACTGACGCTCTGCGATTGTGCGATTGACATATGTGTCCAACAAGGATTGTTGACTAGCAGAAGACGTACTAGCTGCGTAACATCCTCCACGTTGATTCAAACGTTCCACATAATTCAACATTCCAAAGGTAGTGTCGACTTGATCAACATTCATGGGTTGGTTATCATTGACAATGGAAATGATTGCCAACCCAGTCTCGGGATCCAAATAGACTGGAGTAACGTAGGGCGACCAGGAGTTTCCTGGTGGGACCGCCACATTACTCAGCAGAAATGGAAATTCGGAAGATTGGAGGTCCGACAAATCTCTCGAACTGACATCAAAGTCTTCGTAATGCGAGGTCAATAGTGCAGGTGTACTTTGAAAGGTCTTCCATCCCATGACTTCTTCCAATACCAATCGATTGACAGACCATCCCAATGGGTGCATTTGCACAAAAGGGCTCGACTTGTCAAACTTTGGGATGACGAGATAGGGATCGTTTCCAGTGAGATTGCGGGCCAAGGCATTCAGGCTGGCCACACCTGCTTCGCAGGAACTGTCCAAGGGAAAGAGACAATCTTCCAAATCACCGCTAAGTAAGGTGGCAGCGGAGACTATCAAATGGACCGTGCGGGCCAATAGAGACGTCATGGTATTTATCTGAAATGGGAAGAATCACTGAATCACTGAACCGGAAGCAAGCAAGCTGGACAATCACGGAATGAATGGACAGGAATCTTCAGAAGCACCTCTGTGGTAAGATTTTCCTTGATACCTTTGCCCTTCTGCTGTTTTACTCCCTGTGACAGCAGCAGTAGTCTTGTCAAAGCCAATAATTGTTCAGCAGATGATGATGTTATTGCTGTAATTCAAAACGATGGGACTCAAAGTATCGTATGATATTAGTTCTTCCTGTCTCTCCAGTCTCTTACAGTACCACTTTCGCACACTTTCTCGTTTTTTTCCAAAATCTGTTATGTCGCGTTCAGGGGCTGATAAATCACAAATCCTTTGGACTTCTCATTTTCTAGGAGCACAAGCGGTCCTTCTTCGTTTCGCAAGAGAATCTTTGCGGTTTTGCAACTACCGTACAATATGTTTGCGGTTCGTTCGGTGCAAGTATTGATCGTATCAAATAAGAACAGATGGTGATCATAACTAACTGTCAAGTCCACTGCAATTCGACTCGATGGTAAAGAACCCAAACCCTAATTTCATTGGATGACAGCGATGACATCACTTGCGACTTGATCGGACAAACTTGAAAAATACCATCTGCCGATTGACGACTAAGATTCCTCTAAAATTTGGGAAGTTGGCACTCTTCAAACTAAAAACCGAATATCTCTCGTTCAACAGATACTGTACCGGTAGGTAGCTCCCACTGCACAAAAATACTTTGTTGCTCTAACATTTATTGCTGCTGTCATCCTGACATACCACACGAGCTGTACTTTGTCAACCCAAGGTTGTTGTTGATATAAGCATTCAATGACGCTCCAGGACTTGAAATTGAGACTCCAAAAGAATACAGCCTTCAAATCAGAATTGAAGAATTTTGATGGGGATAAGGAATCTATGGACGAATCTGAGAAGACCCAAGCCACTGTATCCGTGGAAGAAGAGGAAGACAACACGTCTGTGGAACAAGATCCAGGAATGGACTCCTCCAACCATCACCACGAAGAGGTTCCCACCCCGCCAAGTACACCAAGAACTCCAAGAACACCTCGCCGTTCTTCCCTCTCGAGTATCAACAAATATGAATACAACACATTTGACGAAGAAGGAGAAGTCCCTCCACCCAGTACACCCCAAACGCCTCGCCGCCATTCTTCCATCAGTACTAGTACTAGTATTGGTACAACGCCACGCCGCTCTTCTCTCAAAGGCAGCAACGGTACTCCCAAAGGAGCCCGCCGCCACTCCTTGACCTTTTCGCGAGATGTGGTCGTGGCCACCATTGTACCCACGCCCGAACTAGCCAAAAAGAAGTCTCTCTGGTTCATGGAAAAGGACTATGAAAAGATGCGCAAAAAGATTTCGCACATTGCCAATAAGGCTCAAGAAAAAGGTGGCGCCGGACACAAGTACTGTACCCGAGGATTGGAGAATCTCATTCGCCAAGGCTCCGAGACTCGAAGATATGCCGCCTGGGATGCAGTCTTGGACGAACAAGAGAATCAAACTTTTCAAGGTGCTGGAAAAGATGAGGACGCCCTCTCGCAGTCCTATCGATCGGCCTGTGAGGAGAGCCGTGCTGAGGCCACAATTCGAGCCTTACAAGATGAAAAAGAGGTTGCAGAATATCTTTCCGAGACTCGCAACTACTGCCGCCGAAGTTCCATGTAACGGACTGCCTATGTGGCATGCCGATGGGAGGAGGAAGAATGTAAGGGGGACGACCATTTTGGACGATTGATGTCAGTGCTACATACCTACCACATCGGTTATGGTTGGTTTTAATTTTGAATACATATATAATATTTTGCAATAACTTGGTGCTGCCGGTAGGCTGACATTAAAAAAATCTTGTTTCGTATGATACGTTGATTTCGGGCTCAGCGTTTTTATTATTAGGTTGGGGACAAAACGATCCCCGATGTCCTCTGTATATTTTCATTGATTTTATAAAATCTATATTGCAACAAATGCTATTCGGACAAATTGAAATCTGGCTCTCTAAACTGGTGGGAAGTTGAACTCCAAAAACTAGAAACCAACAGAAGTTACCACATGGTGAGTACTACCAGGTACCAGGTACCCAGGTACTGGTCAGCATAGTCACACAACATTGTTGCTCTAACATTCATTGCTGCTTCCATCCTCATATATCATACAAGACGAGCTGCTGCTTATCAATCCAAGCTTTCACATTGATCTCTGACTACAAGCATGACGACACTCGTCAAGAACTTGAGATTGAGACTTCAAAGGAATATATCCTGTTGACCGGCCCGAGCGAGAAGAATTCTGATAACGATGAGCCATCCGTGGATGACTCTGAGAAAAGCCAAGTCACCGTAGCCGCGGAAGTAGAGGAAGATAAATCGACTGTGGAACAATGTCCAGGAATGGACTGCTTTAACCGCCAAAATGAATTTTCCATCCCACTCAGTTCAAAAAGTGGTGATGATTTTGGAGGATACTCATCGTATAGATCAAAGAGATCGTTGATATTTTTAAAAAATATATTGAATTTCTTTTTTAAATTTTTTAGCCTTCACTTCGCGCTTACATATTGCTTTCGTGAAAAAGAACCGCATCTGTTCTACGTTATATCTTGATCAGAAGCACCTCAGGAAGTGCTATCAAAAATGTATCAATTCCAGGCAATGCTGTTCGAAATAGTAAACGTCGAACCCTCTAGGCCACGTCCATTGAAAGTATGACTAGCCAGAGCATCACGGTACTTATTGTTCACAATCTGCCGGCAGATTTCTCTCAAAATCGGGAAGTTTGAACTCCGTAAGCTAAAAACGAGTTCTTACCAGATACCAGTTCCCATCATACTCTCATGTTGCTTCATCAAATATCATTTTTTTTCATCTTCACGTTCAATCCAAGCTTTGTCTTAACATCCACTTTTATTCTCAGCTATCAATCATGACAGTCAACAAGAGTATGAAATTGATGAGTCTCCAGAAGGAATCATCTTTCGAATCTGAATTGATCGACAAGAGTTCCAATGATGGCAATAAGGAAGAATGTTTGGACGACTCCGAGAAAACTGAAGACACTGGATCTCTAGAATTTCCAGGATTGGGCTCATCCTCCAACCACTCGAATGAAGTTCCCGCGTCGTCCAGTAGTAAACCAAGAAAGCCTCGCAAATCGTCACTGTCGAGTTGGCTGCAGCATGGATGTGACGCATTCGAAGAAGGAGAAAGAGGAGGAGGTCCTCCACCTCGTACCAGTAGTGCACCAAAACCCAGCCGCTCCTCTCCTGAAGAACTTCCTATACAGCCTGTTAGTACGAAAAAGAAGAGCCGATCTGCTATCTCGAGTTGGATGCAGCATGGATGTGACGCATTCGAAGAAGGAGAAAGAGGTGGAGGTCCTCCACCTCATACCGGAAGTGCACCCAAACCCAACCGCTCCGTTACTGAAGAAGTTCCTCCCCAAACCAGTAGTAAGTCAAGGAAGTCTAACCGTTCTTCAATCTCGAGCTGGATGCAGTATGGATGTGACGCATTCGAAGAAGGAGAAAAGGGAGGAGGCCCCCCACCCCGTAGTGCACGCACACCCCGCCGCTCTTCTCTCAAGGGCAGCAGGAGCAGTACTCCCAAAGGAGCCCCCCGCCGCCACTCCCTGACCTTTTCCAAAGACGTGGTAGTATCAACCATTGTACCCACAAAGAAACTAGCCAAAAAGAATTCTCTCTGGTTCATGGAAAAGGACTATGAAAAGATGCGCAAAAAGATTTCCCACATAGCAAAGCGCGCGCAAGAAAAGGGTGGGGCCGAACACAAGAAGAAGTACTGCACTAGAGGATTGGAAAATCTGATTCGCCAAGGCGGCTCTGAGACTAGAAGATATGCTGCCTGGGATGCGGTAATGGACGAGCAAGCAAATCAATGCAGCGCGGAATACTACAACGAAGATGCCGTCTCGAAATCCTATCGAACGGCCTGCGAGGAGAGCCGTGCAGAAGCCACCATTCGAGCACTCCAAGATGAAAAGGAGGTAGCAGAATATCTTTCCGACACTCGCAACTCCTACCGCCGAGGATCCGCGTAGTAACTGCATTTGGGATGCAAATGGAAAGAACGACTACGGGCAGAAGACTAATTGGATGATTGATGCCGATACAGGACTACTATCTGTAGGTAAATTTTGAATACATTTTGACTACTATTGAATTTCAACAATATCTTGGAACTACTAGCAACATTGAACTATCAACATGTAGCCGTCGATCCCCAGTGGCGGATGCACGAGGCCGTGGAAAAAGTTTTGGTTTTTGGAAAAAAGCAGCGCTCAACACATCTGGAACATTTCTGGAAGAACAATACATGTGTACAGTAAACTTTCACTTGGCTCTTCGCGTAGTATTCGAATAAGTGTTATCTGGTAAGTTTCATCTCGATCAGAAGTCAAGCAGCTGGAATGTATCGATGGCTTCGTTTCCAAAGTATCACAGACGTATCAATGCAGTTTCAATACCAATATATAATATGAAAAATTGGGACTACACAAATAAAAGATTCAAGATAAAAGAGATTCAGTATTCTTGATCAGAAGCTCAAGTCGAAAATTATATGCAACGGCCGGGAAAATCAATTATGCTAAATTTCTATTTCCCGGCCGTTCCTTGTATGTCCTTGACTTCGACAAGGTTCCAACAAATGTTACATCATTTCTTCTCAAAGTATCAATGAAGTTTCAATACACTCACTACCAGTTGGAATGCCGTTCCAGATATGCGAAGTTGTAATAATCGAACATCAGACGATAAAACCCAGTACATGTATCCGTCACCGGATCTGATACCACACTAAAAAGCTTCCGATCAAGACATCGGCATTTTAATTTGCTGCTGCTTGTGATTCATCAATAAAATCCATTTGAAAAGGAATCTATTGTCCTCATAAATCAGAAAGCTGAAGTTTTGAAACCTATCAGTCTCTCTCTTTTTGAAAGGCAAACAACCGCTTACTAGTACAATGACTCTCAAGGACTTGAAATTGAAATTCCAAAAGAAGCAAAGTTCTTCGACCTCATCATCCGTTGGTGAGTTGATCAAGGAGACTGCTTCGGACGAAGTCGAGGAAACTGAAGTCACTCTAACGGAAGAAGATGAAGCCTTTTACGGCTACAACACTTTCGACGATGTTCCCAGTACACCAACCGTGACCCCCAAGGACAGTGTCGACAAATACGGGTACAATACACCCACCACCAGTACCTTCGAGGACAGCGACAACAAATATGGATACAACACATACGAAGAAGGCGTTCCCCCGCCCCCCTGTACACCTAACACACCAAAGATGTCTCGCCGTTCTTCCCTCAAGGGAAGCAGTCCTACTCCGAGACAATTCCGTCGTCATTCTTTGACCTTTTCTAGTAACGTGGTGGTGGCCACCATTATTCCCACACCCGAACTGGCCAAGAAAAAGTCCCTTTGGTTCGAGGACAAGGATTATGAAAAGATGCACAAGAAGATTCACTTGATTGCCGAACGCGCCCAGGAAGGTGAGGGCCACAAGTATTGTACCCGAGGATTGGAGAATATCATTCGAGGAGGTTCTCAGATTCGAAAGTATGCCGCTTGGGATGCGGTTCTGGACGAGCAAGAATATCAAATCCAGTCGGGTGCCGAGTTCTACGATGAGGACGCCCTATCACGATCGTACCGAGTGGTATGCGAGGAGAGCCGTGCCCAAGCAGCTATGCGAGCTTTGCAAGATCAAAAGGAGGCAGCCGAATACCTCTCCGAGAAACCTCGACGCTCTCGCCGAAGTTCCATCATGTAAATGGGGATGGTGTGACACATGGAAAGACGAGGAGGTGCGAGTTTTCGGGACGATTTTGGACAATTGATGTCAATACTACGACAGTAGGTTAATTTTTATTTTTAATGCACATATTATAACTGTACCGGTACTATGGGTCCATCTATCATACAGGCATGGTGCGTTTTCGGGGAACAGCGTTTATTTTATACTATACTCCTTTCAACGAAGATTTCTGAACCTGGATTTCACAGGTTTTTTTAGATCACTATGGATTATTCTTGCGATAAATGGATTATTTACTGCTGCGGACTATCCTGTATAATTAAGATAGTGGCGTTTAGATTCACTTCTAAGTAATGCTTTTCTTCTGCTCAAAAATGTACCAACGATCAATAAGTCTTCGGAATTTGAACCCGTCAAGGTCAAATGAATCACCAAGCATCATCATCGTACCGGTTTTTTAATGGTTTATAGTCGAGACCAGGGGACTATATGAACCGTTGAGAGATAGTCTTTAGGGGCCGCATTAGTGTGTAGCAATCAACTTATTGGTGATAACCGTATCATCATCTTCCGAATCATTATGATAATAACACGCGTTATTGAGCCCCAATCAATATGAACCAACCAATCGTCCAGCGATGAGGACAAGGTTATCGGCGTGTAATGAGTCCCACCCAAATACCCAACATGAAACCAACAGAATTGCCCACTGTCCAGGCTAATCTCGTGCATCGAGATGACTATGTCGCGTTTCAATTTAGTGTTCTGCCGTACGAAAATGACTCGACAACGACCGCGACAAATTCTTATATCGAAAACAGAGATTGGATGGTACGTTGGTTTTTGCAACAATTTCTTTGTTCACAAGCCAGTGAATTGTTGTGGCTGGCCAATCCAATGGACATTCTCAAGACTAAGTGTAGGCAGGAAGCTATTGCTCTCGATGATGCCTCGTCCTACATAATCTTGTGGAATGAACCAATTGTTTCTTGGTATCCTGAACTACTGGAGGGTCACATTCCTTATGAAGCTTGGAACATTCAATATCCCTTATATGCGAATAGGACTCAAAACGAGGTGACAGAACGAGACGTTCACAATGAAAGTGTCCAAGACAGACTACAGGCACTCTTGAATGACCACATTGAACTGAAGCATTTGCAATTAATTCGCGGCCTGGTATCTATTGTGGGTAAGGAATCTGAGACCCATTTGCTGAGAAATCTGGGATCCCATACACAAGCACCGACAGTCTTGCCCCAAACGCCGCCAATTTTGGGTGCCTATTCACCCGAATCTCTCGTCTTGACTGGGGCATTGATTGCTTTGATTCATACATTGATATTGTTGTTGATACACATCTATTTCCGTCCCTGTCTCCAAGAAAGAAACGAAATGAAGGGATTTGAACAACGAATGACAAAGTCGAACCATCAATCATTGGGAGACCACCCTTTGCCATCTTTCCTGTCGCCAAGCTCACCAGGCGACACGAGACAAATATCATTGGATCCTCGACAAGACAATACACTCCTTGCCGATGCACCCGCTCCGTCTATTCCCAGCACCCCTATGCCCAATGACGACGACTCGGGCTCCTTTTTGAGCTTGAGTCGGAGTTGCAATTCGGAAATGGGGTCGTCTAATCAAACTTACGACTCGGCGAATAATATGACAGCGAAGGAAGATGTGGAAGACCAATCACTGGTGACAGATGCTAATCTTGACTATACAGGAAACTTTTATGCATCCGATGACTCTGCAACGATTATGTCGTGCTAAAAGCATTCGGGGATGTGAGAGAATAACGAGACCCGACAATGGTAGCGTGAATGAATGACTACATTTTCAAAGGGGAATCAGTATGGTGACACTCACCAGTGGCGACTGCAGATGTCTAGGATATATGGATATATACAACAGATCCATGAAAGATTAATTGGTAATAATCGTATGTCTTTGTCTATAGACTCGCCAATCGCGCACACAAACTAGCTAGCTGCAATGCCTTATTCGATATGGCCCTCCCTCATGAAGAGATTGTTTGATGTTGGGTTATCGTGCCAGTTGTCGTAGGAATAGCGGTTGGAAAAGTAAGCAATCTTCCCAGTCACGGCATTGCGATTCCTCTCTTGCAATGCAGGATCACTGAAATCATTTTCAGTCTTCTTCGGGTTGCCATAAATGGCTTCCGTTACCTTGGATTGGTTGTCAAACCAGTTTGACGCAGGTTGGGATACTGCAGTAATAGATGCAGCTTGCGTTGACGCATTGGAAAGCGCTCTAGTTTTTTCCTTCTTGCCATATACAGCAGCAGTGACTTTCGACTTGGTATCGAACCAGTTATCACAAGAATACTCTTCGGGAAGATATCCACCAACACGCCATGTAGTAGGTGGTGGGCTGTGTTGTATTGCACTTTCTCCAATATCAAAGCTTTCATGACCAGTGGCCGAAGGGGCCTCGTCGGTGGCTTGTGTATTGGGGTCCTCCGCTCGGGCCACAAAGGCAGGGCGCATGGAATTCACTCGACGACCATCTTGGTCCAAACGGAAATTGGAAACTAGGCGCCGGGGCAATTTCTCGTCAAACTTGGCCGAGAAGTCATCCACGGCGGAAAATACTTCCATCTGCTCTCTGCTGTAGGAAGAATATGGAAGTGGTTCCTCGATAGATTTTTGGACTGACTCTTCTGCTCCTCCTACCATAGTTGGAGCAACTTCTTCTGCTTCCAAATTAGTAGGCGAAATGTTCTCCTCCTCGGCTTCATCACATTCCATTGCAATACGAACGATGTCTTCTCCAGCTTCCACCTCAAGTTCTGGCACGTCTGCCTCCTCCTCTTCGTCTTCAACAATCGTCAGTTTGACATTCATTTTTGCTTCCATTTCAGCAACCTTTACCTCGGGAGCTTCGTCCATTGCTTCGGTCACTGCCATTGTTTTTGTTGGCTTGATTTGTTCTTGGAGAGATTCCATTTCTTCCTTGGAAATAATCTCTTTCATCTCCTCTTCAAGCTGCTTGATTGACTCGAGTAGTGCCATTATATCAACCTCGCTGTCTTGTTCCACTTCGGCCACTGCAGGTACTTCGGCTTCTTCAAGATGACTAGTAGCCACAGCATAATCGCTACCCAAACTCAATCGTTTCATCAGATCGCTGGTTCCTCCCAGCATTCCTTGGGAGGCTACAGTTTTCAAATCATCTGGACTGGGGACTACCTTGTTTGTCTGTTTTTGGTCTCCCAACTTGAGTGGCGATTCGTGGCTGCCTGGAGTCTCGACGATATAGGCGGAGGCTGTTGCCAAGAATATTACAAAATAAATGGGCTGGATCTTCATGGTGTTGAATAGGACTTCGACTTTAGTTGCCAGGAAAAGTATTGGTATGAATGACGGTATGAATATTATTGGTAGGATGGAATGGCGATTTTCGGTTGATAGTTGATGCGAAGATTTTCAAAAAATACCGCACCGGCCGGCGTAAAATGCAACTGATCTTTTTGTGCGCGATAACGCACGGGCGTAAATGTAAGTTCAACAATGAACTTTTTGCCGGTATATAGTATCTTATTCTTCATTTCTTTTTCTCTTGCCTCCAACTCAAATACATGTCAGCAAAATATTGATGTCAAGTGTATATGCAATCTATGAATTATCGGTTTCTACGTCAAGTTTGTTCACTTTTCTAAGAGTTCTCAGACCACGAGCTGAGCGGCCAAGACTCTGGTTGCCATTGCTGTTCGCTCAAAGTCCTTTCCTTCTTCTTCGAAGACTATTCGCAAGGCTGCAAATCGCTGCGTGCATTCCTCGAGAATATCCTCTTCGACCCACGAGCCCTGTAGAGCAGTCTCAAAGTGGGTCTTGAGTTTCTTGAACTGTTTGGTGTTGATACCCAGTTCGAAAACGGCGTAGTTCTTCATGATGACACGAAGGCGTGCATCACCATCAACCACAAAGTTACTTTCCAAAGCAGACTTGATGAGGTCACTCATGACAGCTGACAATCGTGTCATGCTCATATGGCCGAATACCATTTGCAAGTCGGCATCTTCGTTGATACTGTCGCAAAAGTTCATAAGAAGGAAGCCCATTTCACTTTCTCCACCTAGCTTTCTGATGAGGTTAGGCTGGGATTGGAAGGCTTGTTCTTGAATAGGTCTGCACATTATGCTTGTTTGTTGCCTTTACGATTTGCCTGAAAGTCTATTTTATGAGGATGTGTCAGGATTGGTTTTGTCGATGTCGATGTCGACTTGGTGTTGAGCTTTGTGAGACGGTTGCGCATCGAGTACCTGGTACACGTGTGCTTGTAGAACTCTGGCCAAAACGAGAACTTTGGTTTTAATTGTTGAACTGTCGCGAAAGGTTTGATCCGGCTTACTTAACGATTGCATTTGCGATCAAAAATGGTTGGCACGTTTTCAAAACCACATTATCGCTTTTATTCGTATTTTCAGTCAAGAAAAGTTGAAGAACAAGGGTCCTGAGAGTCTATACCGGTATATAATATAAAATAAGTGCGAAAAACTGTATGCCACTTTTTGATGAATGTCTGAGATCCGAGGATAGGGTGATTATGGCCAATTTCACTGTATCTCGGGGGCATCTGTTAGTACTGTGGGGTGCTCATGATAACTGACAATCGTGCCATGTTCAAATGGTCGAATACCATCATTTGAAAGACGGCATCTTCTTTGATACTGTCGCAAAAGTTCATAAGGAGGATGCTCATTTAACTTTTTCCAACTAGCTTTTCGACGAGGGTAGGTTGGGCCTGGAATGCGTGTTCGTTAATAGTAGGTCTGCACATTCAGTTTCTGTTGTTGATGATGATCAGGTCTGTTTTGCATGAAGATATCGGGATTATATTGTATGCTCTTTATGAATTATCGGTTTCTATGGGATGTATCTTTTGTTCACTTTTCCAAAAGTCCTTCAGGCCATGCTCATACTACGAGCTGAGCGGCCAAGACTCTGTTGACCTGTGCGGTTCGCTCAAAGCCCTTTCCTTCTTCTTCAAAGACAACTCGCAAGGCTGCAAATCGCTGTGTGCATTCATCGAGAACATCTTCTTTGATCCAGGAGGCCTGCAGGGCAGTCTCAAAGTGGGACTTGAGTTTTGTGAATTGTGTTGTTTTGATACCCAACTCGAAGATGGCGTAATTCTTCATGATGACACGAAGCCGTGCGTCGGTATCATCCAAATTGCTTTCTAAGGCAGATTTGATAAGGTTACCAATTACGTTTGACAATCGCTTCATGCTCATATGGCCGAATACCATTTGCAAGTCGTCATCTTCCTTGATACTGTCGCAAAAGTTCAGGAGAAGGAAGCTCATTTCGCTTTCTTCACCTAGCTTCTCGATGAGGCTAGAGGTTTGTTCATGGATAGGTCTGCACATTATATTTGTTCGTTGCCTTTATGCTTTGCCTGAAAGTCTAATTTATGAGGATGTGTCGGGATTGGTTTTGTCGATGTTGAGTGGATGTTGAGCTTTGTGAGATGGTTTCGCACAGAGTAGAACGCTCGTCAAGACCAGAACTTTTGCCTACGTGGATTTTTCATGTTTAACTGTCGCGAAGGTTTGATCCGGCTTACTTAATGGCCATGTTCGCGTTT